CATTGCGGCATCCGGCCTTTTCTTCCATCATCCTTTCGTGCAGTCCGTGGGGGACGCAGCCGCAGGGCCGGCAACGCGTGTGGGCAATAAAAGCAAAAAAGAGGGGGAAACAAATCACGGTATTTATCAAACATACACTGCGTAAAAAGAAAAACACAACAGTACTGATTATAAAAGATAGACTGCATCAAAGGCAACATTGAAAAGCAAAAACATTGAAAGAATCAACAAACAGTAAAACGTTAAAAATTAATTAAAACGGCGGTATAAAAAAGAGCGAGGAAAGCGGCACATATTCTCCGTGAGGCGTCGCAAATCCACACTCCGTGGCTCAGAAGACTGCCACAACCCAAACACAATCCCAGAAGAAGCAACACACAAGACACACAAACGCACGATATTGTTGCCGCCTAAATCACGCAGTGTCAATTTCACGTCGTTGAGAGAGGGCGAGGCGGTCGTCTGTACTCACGCCGCTCCAGACACTTCGAGGTGACTGTTTTTAGTGGGATTCATGTCTAGGGGCGTTGTGCCCATCCATTCCTCTTCTGTAATATCCTCAGCAACGTGCTCTCTGACGCTGTCGACTACTCGAATCTTCTCGGACGGTGTCGTAGCCGCTTCCCTCGTCGGAACGGGGACCCTGTCCTTGAGTGCACGCATCGCAGTGGAATTCAGTGGGCGGTTGTACAGAAAGACGTCATCCACCGTCACATGAGATTCGTGCCCGCCGCATGCGTCAAAGCAAACCCTCAGGACATCAGGTGGCCTCCCGCCTGCTAACAGCACCTCTTCTGCCCCAAGCGACTCGCCATCAACGTCCACAGAGGCCTTGTTGCCTTGCAGCATGAGTGCCACTTGGTATTCTTCCGTCGACACCCAAGTGCTGCTCCGTGTTGTTGTCTTGCCTTCGAACATCGTCACCCACTTCTTATTGTGGCTACACGACAGTCCCACGGTATGATTGGACGCAGTGTCCGCCAGCACCTCAGTCAGTGGAGGAGTGTTCCCACTCGGAGTCTCTTCGATGCTCACCGACGCCACAAGTGGGGCGTCGTGGCTCAAGAATACATGACGCACTTCATCACCCCGAGTGTTCACAGGCCATATTGCCCTGGACTCAAGTCCCGTCACTTGTAACCCATCGTTTTCCTTCACTGCATTCCTCCACCGTTGCATTCAGAAAAAGGTACTCGTCGTTCCACGTGACATCACTGGCCGCACCGGACGAAACTGCCACCAGACGCGCCGTGGGTGTAGATAAGTTGGAGAAGAAAATGTCCTTTTGCGCCCAAGTGCCGAGGACGGACTTGATTGCACTCACTTCCTCCATCAGGCGGGAAAGTGAGATGACACGGCATTCACCGTTGCCCCTCCATCGTAAAAGATGCAAACTGCCATCCGAGTACAGCAGGTTGCCGGCGAGCATCCAATTCACAGCAGTGTCCACGGCAACCGGTCCAACAAAAAACGTGCGGTTGCTGTCCGTGACCCAAAGGTAGAGCGCAATGGGCCTTTCCTCACCGAGGCGTGCCCTCTCTGAGTGCACAGCATGACCTCCCTTTCCTCAATGGTCGCGGTGATGAGGGCATCCACACGCAGGCTTTCCTTCTGATAGACTCCTGATCGTGCGTTGACCCACACGCCTGAGAGTGTCCCGATGGCCTCCGCCCACGCTGTCCCCATGTCACGCGACCCGTACACCCTCTGGCCACTCTCGCAGTCAACAATCATGAGAAGTGATCCCTCCCATTCGGTGACGCGGGGTTAAGGCATTTCGCAGGGGAAATGTCCTCAGAGAGCGCCCAGGCACTGCCGTTGTCCGTCGAGCAAATGATCATGGAGCAAACGTCTTCTGCTTCACTCTTCGCCATCAGAGGAAACACAAGCGTGTCATCCTCCATCACTACACCTGAGCCACCAGAAGCAATGAACACCGTCCAGTCACCTTCGTGAGAAGCAGAAGAGATCCGTTTCGGGAGTGGTTTGGGGTCGTCCCATCCGATCCGTCCACTCCGCCTTCCACCCGTGGGATTCGTGACATCACCCACAACCAGCTTCAGCTCCAAGCCGCCCTCTCTCCAACACCCACCCTCGTAGAACAAATCAGTGCTTCCCGCAAGAGGAAACACTCCGTTGCCCTTCGTAGTTGTTGTGGGGCGGAGCACAACACCCAAACTCTCCTCTCCCTCCGCTGCACAAACCACAGTGTGTGCCCTCCATGCATCCTTTTATTGAACTCACTAACAAGAGCGGACCAATTCCACGCAGAGTCAATGTACCCCGCAACCACACCAAAAGAAAAGGGCTTACTTAATTGACCAAGTTGATATTCGGCGTTCATGTGACCTTCGGCGAAAGCAGCAATTACTCCACCAGCACTGACGAGAGAGGGTGAAGCAAATGAATCCCTCGTCGTAACTGGAACAATCCCACCCTTCGGCAGCAACAGCGTCGTCTGCAGCACAAATAGATTGTCTCCTCCAGCTCCTGAACACTTCTTAAATCACCCTTGCCATCATTCTCCTTTGAAGGCTTGGCTCTACAAGTGCCGTAGCAAATCAACAAAAATGTAAAACTAACACCGCGGAATTAAACACACGCCGGGACATGCTGAGCCTCTAGTGCTCACTCTCTCTTCCTTCCATCCTTCCGCTGGATCCGGTCACGCAGCGACGGTTGTGTGCGTTGGCTGCCTTGACTGCAGCAACAAATGAGAGCATATAAATATGTGTTTGTTTGTGCGGTATGTGCGCTATTTTTTGTCCTTCAGAGCCCTCGAATCTCAGGGTGCCGATTAGCGCCTGGTCGTAGCTTCCTACACAGTTTGAGTACTGTGTGCCGGAAATCAAATTGAAGTTTAAAAAACACCAAAACAGAACGTGGCAGGGGTGTGGGTGGCGCCACCATCCACAGTGTAACACACCGGCGTCGTCGTAACCGCTACAGCAATTACTCTCCCCATCAACAACGCCTCAAGCACTGTGAGGCCGCACACAGAAGCAGGGGCACTGACGTTTGCGCACGGGCCAATACACCCTCCGGCAAACGGCCCCAACCAACAGACAGACAGCAGAAAGTAAGTGCGAGCAAAATCTCATGTGCTGCGGGATCCTTGCAAGCAGCGCTCCCTCATTGCGGGGCCTTTAAAGCGATCCTCGCTGCAACATCCCCCACCACCCCCTCGGCGTGTCGGTGGATTTTCCCGTTCACCGGAACAAAAACAGCGGGATGCTCCTGCAGGGGTCGAAGACACAAAGAGCGCAGACCCTCGTGAAGTGCGATCCCACAACCGCAATTCCTCCATTTACTCTCGTGGACGTGAAGGAGGCATGAAATGTCCTCTTCTCTACAGCAGTCCTGAAACGCAAAAAAAATCCGCAGGACATCCCGCGCAGCCACGGCCTCCTCAGCAGCCCGACAGTCCACGCCGTCGCACCGCTCCTCAAGAGGTCGCCAGGCTCGGTAAGGCAAGCAAAAGGAGAACAGCATTTTGGTCAGGGCGTTCATAAAAATGAGGCGCAGCAGTCGGGTGAGCGCGGTCCATCCACGTCCTCCCCTCAACAGACCCACCACACAGTCGAATCACACACCCGAAAAGAGCCGTGGAGTCTAACGAAATAGCATGGTCAATAGCACCTCGTGCTCTCCTTAATGAAGTGTCATGGCACACACGAGGCATCACAGGAAAGGGCAAATAGTTGCATTCCATCGGCATAAGCACGGAAGTAAAGCGCGCATTCTGCCCCTGTGAACTTCAATCCAAATCGTCTCAGCCACAGAGTTTCTGTCGCCGACCCTCAGAAAGGGCTGATGCATCAACTGCCGCTGACCGATCCCTCAGCGATGAAACAAAAAGAGCCACCGTCTCACAAGGTTCGTCATCACCCATTCCTCCCATTGAGGGAAGGGAACGCAAAGTGACGGTGTGGACGTGTTTAGCCGAAAGAAATGAAGGAAGTGACTCCAGACGCAAAACAAATTGAACGGATCCTCCTCCCGAATCCTTCAAAGGGACCGGTCTTTCAACTGCCGCGGTTGACGGCGCGGAGGACAACACCTTGAATGTACGGAGCACCGCAGCAACCTGAATATATTCTGCAATATCCGCGGTCAGTTCATAAAAGTACAACAGAGAGACAGAAAACTCAAAGGGGCGTGTGAACCCGTCAAAGATCACCCGCGCCGGAGGATCGCCACTCCAACCCTCCAAGGGCACCTCAAAGACGTCAAATACTTCCACCGCACGGCACCCACAACACAATCGCGTAACATAATGTATCGCCTTGCAGCACCCCATGCAATGCGGCAATCGAAAACCGTCTCAAACACGGCGTGCGACAAAGATACCAAAGGAAGGTGAAGCAAATGTCCTCCACATCTCAGCAATTCCAATCATCCAGTAAAAGGCAGGAGCGTCATACAGCACCCACGAAACTCACCGAATATGGCGTCAAAAGGCAGCGAGATGCCAGATGTCGAAAGGTCCGCATTTCCTCCCCGTGACACTTCCACGGATGAATACAACTGTCGTGCCCTGCGGCCTCTCGACCGCTTCGAGACAACGTTGCGGCCACATGGCGATGGCCCAACGTGGCTGGCAATCAGATCCAGTCGTCTCGGCAAAAC